GTTTTGGTCGCTTTAGTAGCTGCAGCATCGCATTGCAGGCTCATGTTCATCTTGTGGTCAATGATGACCCCCAAGTCTCTTTCTTCCATAGTGCTAGCCAGTGTAGCACTGCCGAGCCTAAAAGGATGCTGCTGGTTTTTCTTCCCAAGGTGGAGAACCTTGCATTTTTTGGTGTTAAACACCATCAGGTTCTTGCCCGCCCATTTGCTGAGCCTGTCCAGGTCAGCCTGGATCACCCGCCTGTCTTCTGGTGTAGATGCTTTGCCCCAAAGTTTGGTGTCATTCGCGAACTTGGCCAGTCTGCTTCTGACTCCAATGTCCACATCATTAATGAAGATGTTGAACAATATGGGTCCAAGCCTTGGGGGACCCCACTGGTCACAGGGCATCATGACGATTGACTTCCATCAATTACCATCCTCTGGGTCCGACCATGGAACCCATTTCCCAGCCAGCGGATCGTGCTGGACCCAAGGCCAGAATTGGCCAGTTTCGCCAAGAGGTGATCATGGGATACCAGATCGAAGGCTTTTTTGAAGTCAAGATAATTGACACCAATCTCTTCTCCCTTGTCCAGGTGATAGGTCACCTGGTTGTAGAAGGAAATGAGATTGGTCAAGCAAGACCTACCTGCAATAAACCCGTGCTGGCTATCCCTCAGGATGTTGGCGTTGGCCAGTCCATTTAGGATGGCCTCTTTAATAAACTTTTCTAACATCTTCCCCGGGATAGAAGTCAGGCTAATGGGCCTATAGTTAGCCGGATCCACTTTCCTCCCTTTCTTGAAGATAGGCACCACATTGGCCTTCTCCCGGTCTTCTGGCACTACACCAGAGCACCAGGAGGTCTCAAAGATCCGTACCAGGGGTTGGGCTATGATGCTAGCCAGCTCCTTGAGTACCCTGGGGTGTAGATTGTCAGGGCCGGCTGACTTGAAGGTATCCAGCCTCTCAAGGTGTTCCTTCATGAGGTCGGCATTTATGGAGGGCAGGAGATCTCCCTCACCTGGACTTCCCTGTCCCATAGCGGGCATGGGCGTCCCATGGGACTGATGAAAGACCGACTCAAAGTACCCATTTAATAGGTTGGCTTTTTCCTGGGCGTCAGTTGTCAGTTGCCCGATCTGGTTCAGCAGAGGCCCAATGTCGTCCTTGCTTTTTCTCCGGCTCCCCACATATCTGAAAAAGGACTTTTTATTGTTCTTGATGCTTGAAGCTAGTTGGAGTTCAGTTGCAGCCTTGGCTTTCCTGGTTTCCTCCCTGCAGGACCGGACCAGTGCAGTTATAGTAGAGTCGCAACATGTTTGTACACGATATAGCAAAAAAACTATAAAATTGTTTTCCCAGTTTCTTGGATTTCTGAGATTTCCAGTTCTGGTACCTGTTTAAAATTATATGGAATCTTTTGCACATAAAGCACATCCATAAAGTGGGACTAAAAGTAGTTTAAAAAAAGTCAGGAAAACACGATTCTTTGGCTGTTGTAATTATGCTTTTTTGCTTCTAAATTTTGTTACAGGAAACTTATATGTGAACCAAAATATTTGTGAAACAGCTAAGGTTAAAGGAAAAACTGCTGCTTAAAGAACATTCCTATTCACATGGAAGAAAGCATGAGCAGGAAAGTTTAAGCTTTTATAAATTGTTTTGGCTTGCTCTCTTTTTTGTCTTTTATTTCTGTATCTTAGATATTCTGTAACCTGTATAGATGATATAGTCTATATCTTATACAGTGTGTATTCAACCTATTGATGAAGATGAGGATCAAAAGAAAGTAGGGATGGTAGGGACCTCCCAAGGTCATCTAATTCAGTTCCCTGCTCTAGGCATGCTCATCCATGACTCAATCATCCTAGTCAAGCATTCAGTCAACTTACTCTTGAAAACTTTCAGGGATGGAGATTCCAAAACTTTTCGAGGTAGTCTGTCCTAATGCTTGACCATACTCATTGTTAACAAGTTCTTCCTAATCTCTAATCTATACTTCCATTACTGTTAAGGGATTTGTCTGCTCTTTCATGAAGAATTACCAAACCCTCCCACTCTCCTCAAAATCTTCTCTTCTTCAGACTAAACAGTCGTAGTTCTTTCAGAATCTGTTTCCTAGGCCTCTAATCATTTTTGTTGTTTTCCACTAGAGCCCTTCTGAATTGTATACATCTTTTTTTAAGTGCAGGGCCCAAAACTTGACATAATACTCCATGTGAGGTCTCACAAGTACCAAATAGAGAAGAATCCCTTTTCTTGATTCACTTGCAAATTGAAGTTGCCAAAAATTGAATTCCAGCTTTCATAAATGAACTCACTAAAATTAGTGATCTCTGAAAAATAAGCATTTAAATCTTACCAGTAGAGGTGCACTGATACATTGGTTCATATTGACTCAGCACCGATAAAAGCAAAATCAACATTATCGGCAGTTGGGTTTTTTTGGCTGATAATGTTGTTGACAAATGCTGTGTGCATGCACACAACCTGGCAGCTTGGAGAGCATGGTCCAGCTGGTAAGTCTGTGGGGAAAAAGGGGGAACAGATCCAGGACCCCCCAAGGGTGAGGGAGGGAGTGGAGCTAGGGCAAATGTAGGCACTACCCAGCTGGGGCAGGGTGTGGGATGGAGTAGCAAACAGCTCATCTGAGGGCATGGGAAGGTTGCTGCCACCACTAGTTCACCCTGGGGGAGCCACAGTGGGGTACATGCCTCATGGACCTGTGTCGGGCTGTTCTCGGCAGGGGGGTTGGGCCAGGGCTGTGCAAGAGGTGGATGCTGGAGGTGCTGGCAAAGGGAAGCTACAGGAAATTTTGGGGTGACTAGCCTACCCAGTAGCCCCCACTCCCAGCGCCATTGCTGTCTGCCCTGCACATACCCCTCTGTGCCTCTCCTGGGGTGTACCAGTGGTGGGAGTCACACCCTGCCCCCCCCAGACAAGCTGCTCGTGACTCCCTCCCGTGCCCCACCCTGCCTGGGCAATGCCTGCCCCTGCCTCACTGCAGGGGCCTCAATCTGCCTCCCCCCATGCCCTTTTTCCTCCACAGACTTAGCAGCCAGACACTACTGTCCAAGCTGCCAGGTTGCATATCAGCAATTGAACCAGTAGATATGGCTTATTAATAAATCAGCCATCAGTATTGGCCCAAAAAATCTTTAATTGGTGCACCCCTGCTTACCTGGTATTTGTCCTTGACAAGAAATAGAATACATCTCCAGATAAAATAAGCATTACTAGATAACATCCTTTTCTGATTTGGACTAGGTAGCAAGAAAATAAAGTGCCATTTAATGGGTCAGACCATATCAGGGGTGGGCAATTATTTTGGGTGGAGGGCCACTTACTGAGTTTTGGCAAGCCATCGAGGGCCGCATAACAGGCAGCCGGGGCAGATATTCATTTTCTAAATTTTTTACGGGGCCTGCAGGCCAGATAGAATGGCCTGGTGGGTCACATCTGGCCCACAGACTGCATTTTGCCCACCCTTGCCATGGATCCACCTTGTCCGGTATCTTGAGTCACACAGTTGTAGAAAGTGGATGCTGAAAGAGAGAGTGAACAAGGTATGGCCAGGGCTTTTTCCACTGTTCCTCTCCTACTTGCAGCTTCCTCCATTTACAGTCTAGGAAATTCTGATTCAGAGGCTGTACCCTTAACTCCATGGCAGGGGGTCGGACTTGATGATCTGCTCAGGTCCCCTCTGACCCTACCAACTATGAAACTCCCATGCTCAACAGCTACTGATACCCCTTTCCTTCAAGAATTTATCTAATCCCTTTCTGAATCTGGCTAAACTATCAGCTTCTACAACATCTGATGGCAATGACTTCCACACTTTAATTCCACACTATGTGAAAAACAGTTTTACATTCACTACCTACTAGTTTCATTTTATGACCCTTAGTTCTTGTATTGTAAGAGACAGTAAATAATAAATCCTTATTTTCTTTCTCTTCACCATTTCGTATTTTGTAAATCCTTACCATGTCCCTCCTCAAGTGTCTCTTTTCAAAACCAACTAGGCTTAGCCTCTTTAGTCTCTCCTTGTATGAAAGCCCCTCCATACTACCAGTCATCTTTGCTGCTCTCCTCTCTACCTTCTAGTTCTTCTATATCCGTTTTGAGATGTAGGGACCAAAACTGGCACAATATTCGGGATGTAGATGTACCATGGTTTCATAAAAGGGCAATAATTATATTTTGTTTAAGATTTCATTCTTAATAATTCCTAACTTTCTGATATCTGCTGTGCACTGAGCTGATGTTTTTAGCAAACTATCCACAATGATTCTCAGATCTCTTCCCTGTATGGTAAAACCTCATGCAAAGCCCATCATCGTGCAGGTACAGTTTGGGTTATTTTGCCCATATGCAGTACTTTACATTTACCTACATTGAATTTCATGTTATTTACTTATACACTCAATTATACCAGGTCCTTCTCTATTTCCTCACAGTTCGCCTTGGTTTTCTATTTTTAAGCCAATTCCTAATCTATGAATGGACCTTCCCTGTAACCCCATGGCTACCTGAATTCATAGAGCCTCTGATGTGGGATCCTGTAGCAAAACTGTAAATACCCAGCTCTCCTATTTCTGAGAAAAGTGGCACCTTGGAGACTAAATCGTTCAGGGTGGTATGAGCTTTCATAGATAACAACCTACTTCATCAGATGCTATAAACAATGTAAATTGTTGCCTATAGAAGCTTATACCTCTCCCAGTGAGTTAAATCTAGTCGCACAGGAGGGAGGGTAGGATGGCACCTTACAGACCAACACAAGTAACTGCTGCTCTACTATTTCTGGAACAACTTAAAATAAAATAGTTACCTAAAAAGGAAAATGATGACTAACCAAGCAGCAAATTACGAAAAAAAGTGTGTGTGTAGGTGGGTTAAAAGAACCAAGGTAGTAACTAGCCATGAAGAAAAATACCAGTTAGTGATTAACTGTTAAAGAGAAGATATTCCAGCTGCTGATGGATAACTGGACAAAAAGATACAAAAACTTACCTACATAAAAAGAACATTTAGAATGCAACAGGTTCTCTGTCCACATCCGACATATTTCACTTTCTGTGAGAGCTTCCAGCCCCAAATAGGGTTGATATTCTAGTTTTGGCAATATGTGAACAGGAATACGCTGTGAGAGTAGAAATCTTTGTCAAGTGGCCATCAACAATTTACAAGCAATTATAACAACCAACTTTTTTTGTATTAATAATCAGCACAGGCTTCCAGGCATGATTTTGGAAGCAACACAAATAACGACATAGATAGTACTGTAACAGAACATTTTACGTAAAAGAAAACCCACACAGAGTAAATTTAAGGAAAGGTGCATTTTCCTCCTTTCCCCCCTACATTTTCACTTAGACAAGATTTAACATGAGAAAATGTACATAATGTAACAATTTCTACTTAGGTATACATTATTTTGCACTTCATTTCTCTATGCTATGCTGCCCTCTCTAGGAATTTTAATTAAAAAAAAACCAGGGCAATTATCCCTTTTCTGAGTTAGCCTAAAATAAAGGAAACCCTTCCCCCCTCACAATTCATATTAAAATCCTGTTTAAAATCCTAAAATAGCATCTGCATTTTATCACTAAACACAGAGCTTCAGTTTTCCTTTTACTCCCCACCCTGAAATTCATTTACAATTAGAGTTTGGAAGTAGTAGTATTACAATTCAGTAGACAAAAGTACAATTATTTGCATGTAACAGAACTTATTGTTTACGATTATGCCAGAAATGAGAAGCCGCAAAAGACCTGAAAAGGCAAAAAACCTGAACTTTTAAGTCTGAAAAGATCCACCATGTTTTGCTTTTAAACTGCATACAGTTTTCTCCCAAAAGATTTCTTGAATGTTAGCAGAAAATAACAACATTTTTAATAACTGAAAATCTGGAATTAAATGCAAGTGTTTAAACCCAACAATCAAACACATAGGCTGTGTCCAGACATGCAGGCACGTGTGGTCTGTGGCACAGCAAGCCTCTCTGCAGTACAGGGAACATGAAAGGGCAGTTTGTCCAAAGTGGGACAATCTGTCCCTCACCAAAGCACATGTAGGGACGTGAGTGGCAGCACAAATTTGTGCCGCTACAATTTTTGCCACTGCAAGTACACACCCCTGCACATCTGGACATGGCCATACACTCTCCTTCTGTTGGGTAGGTGTTAAAACCTCTATCAGTGAAGACTTTGAGTTACACACTAACTAGCTACCTCTCAACATTTACAAGCATAAATCAAACCATAATGGAAATGTAATTCTGCAACAATACAGAGTGGACAATGTTATCTCTGAATGTATGACTATTCAGAAATTGCTTCATATATGGCATGAGTTGATGGGCCACAATTATCAAATGATGCAGTGGATTTTCACAAAAGACAGCAATTTCTGATAATTTAAGAGCAAACTCTGAATTCCCAGCTAGGCAAAAGCTAACCAGGAATAGTAGAAGTTCCCACTCAGAAAAGACAAACTTTTGTTCTCAAAAGCAAAAATGTACTGAAACAAATTTCATAAATGTGCTCTCAGTTGAAGGAAAAGGAGCTGTGATCCTTCAGGAAATGTAAAGATCATTCGGAATACACTATATTATCCCACCTGAAACCAAAATACTCCTACTATCCCTCCTTTTAAGTGCTATTATCCCATTGTCCCATCCAGTCAAAATACTGTAACAGTTTTTGACTATTCACACTCCTCTCAAACCATCATGGCTACTTCTGTCTTTGACTGTCCAAGAACAGAAGAATAAAGCAGTAAGAAAATTATGAAACTAACATGAAGAAAACTCCACATAGACTTCCCCACTTCATTTGATTCAATGTCAGCTATAACACTATCAAGCAATATAGCACTATAGCACTATCAAGCTAAAACACTATCAAGTGTTATAGCACTATCAAGCACCACAGTGAAATCACTCAAGACAACCTTCAGCTCCTACTTACTACTAGCTGTACAAATGCCTATGTTTATTGGCTGCTAGGTCTGTTATGCGTTTCATCTGCTGGGGAAGAAAGCATGTCTCTATATAGGAAGATGTATTTACTGAAACCACCACTCCAATTTTATCACACATAACCGAAGACCATCTAATGCAATAATTATAGGTACAGTTAACAGTGATAATTAAGGTTGCCTAACACTTGCCATCTTGAGACTCTCAGTTGCAGCCTGAATTCTATGGATGTTCCCAGCAAAAAGTTTCAGCCATTCCAAAGAATGGATAGTGGGAAATATTCTATTTTTCTATTTCTATTTTTTCTATTAAGAATGCAGTTTGTTTAAAAAAAGACATATGAATAAAGCTAGGAAATTGTATTTTGGAAAATGAAAAGAATCTTAAAGTTTCAAAGCCAAACAACAGCAGACAAATGTTTATCCTCTGGATATTGGTGTATATGTAGGCATCCCAGTCAGATACCTGATGAATCTGTTTGTGGCTGACAAGCACATTAGCCTATTTTAATGCATGTCAAAGTGTCACAAAAACACCATGCTCTTTTGCTAATGTGCATTAAAATAGGCTAATGTGCCTTTTGCTAGTACCTCAAATTTAATCTGCATTACCAAAAGTGGATTAATGAATGTGTAGAGATGCCCAGCTTGTTACAAGTTTCACAGATCCATATGTATGAAATGGAGCCCAAAATTTATAGCATGCTGCTTCCTCCTTTCTTTAGTTTTTATTGATGCTAGGGAAACAGCATTTTTGGATGATATTTTGTTTGATGCACTTGCCTCAAATTTCAGGAGTCAGACTAATAGGCAAGTGCATCAAACAAAACAGCATCCAAAAAAATGCTGTTTGCCTAACAGCAATAAAAACTATAAAGACCTTAAGCTTTATACATAGGAAACAACACGAGTACCCTTGACATGGAAATCAGAAACACCACCAACAGATAGATTACATGAATAACAAATGGGAGCACTTGTGTTTATGAAGAAGATCACAGTTGGGTCGGATCCTACCAACATTCAAGAACACATCACTTTTGTGAACACTCCCATTGCCTTGAATTTCATATAAATAAAATCACCTGCATGCACTGGTTTTTCTGGAAAAAGAACTTATAATGTCAAATGGAACATCAATCTGGATGCATTACTGAGTCAGATTCCCACTGCACGAAATCACAAATGGTACGGTAAGGAATATAGGATCAGACCCACGTGCATTTATCTACAAACAAACAACAAGTAATCCTTGCTTCTCTTCCTACAAACACTTGCTCCGAGTCACAAACTTTAGAGCTCTGAAAATAAACTAACACTTGTATACAAGAATGACTCGAATACAATGAAGTCAGTGTAATAAATGCTGAAACACTTGGGCTAACACCATTAACTTCCTTCTTTTAACTCTAGAAACGTTCAGTTCACTTTAGGTGGGCATTAATAAATGAAAAGTTTCAGTCACGCGTACAGGTGAAAAAGATGTCAAGAAAACTATTTTTACCTTTTTGATGCGCTGATTTTTATGGGACCGTGGCCAAATCTCTGCATTCTGTACACTGCAACGCACAAGTAACAGTAGGTCATCTAAGCTGAATAATTTATATACAAGATTCCCATCCTCAGGAGCTGTGTACTCTGAAGGGTCTTCAGCAAGCATCTGAAGTTCAGCTGGAAGCATTCCTTTGGAGAAAAATACCAGAAAATGAAAGGTTTGCACAGCCTTCATGAGAACAATTAGAGTCTCTCTCTCAACACTAGTTTGTTCTAAACTGAACTTATCTGAAATAAAAAACTGAAATGAGTAAAACTGCATGCCATTTTAGGGTGCACACACAAAATCAAAAGAACATGCTTTTCCATAGTTTCAAATACAGCAACAGTGATTTTTCAGCAGCTGATACCCCTCAGGGCAGGGCTCCTAGATTAACTGCTATTGTGTCTCCAGAGGTGCATGCATGTGACATACACTCCCTTGCCATGTGCTTTCTCTGGCTACTACAATTCTTACGTTTCAAAGTTGAGATTTCTGTGCTCTCTGGGTACTGAAATAAATAAATAGTTCTACAAGATACTCTCCATATGACAAGAGGTTACTGGATTTAATACTGATCAGCTGATCATAGTTAAACTAAAATTTAAAGTTTCAACTGCTGAAATTCTCATGCACTTATGCCAGATACTTAGCACAGCAAATGGCAGCATAAGGAGCCCAAATATTCTGCTTAAAGTGTCTTTGAGAGTTGCTGCTCATGTACTAGAGCTTGATGCTGACTTAGCCCAGGACTGTTATGAGGGCATCAACCCAGTTTGCCAAGTACAAAGCATGGCATGGCTTGAACTGGCAGATCCAGACCATCAGCTTCAATATGAACTGACACATATATTCCAGAGAACCTTTATTAAAAAGGATTCCAACCTGTTCAGTGTTCAGAAACCTCAAGATACCCTAATTAGATGCTGAATTAATGGATGTCAAAAACAAAAAAAAGATAATGAACATATCTGGGATTAGTTATTCATCACTTAACTGAATAAAGTGTAATAGATAAAGAAGCTGGAAATGCGCGCCAGCTTTAAAAGGAAGCACACTTTATTGTGACAAAACATTAAATACATTTTAACCAGGCCAACATGTCGCTCAATATATACAACCAAAGAGAGGTATTTTGAAATCAACCACATAACTGAAAACAACTGTGTATTAATAAATTTGGGACCCTGCTTCTGGTCCGCTACCAAAAAGAGAAACTAACACCTAGAGGCTTGCTGAATGTTTTTCAGTTTCAAATGGTCTGCTGAACACCTTAAGGCTGCTATTCTTTCAAGTAGTCAGTAGCAGAATAATTACTTCAGGTTTTCCAGCAATAATGATTTGCAACAGGATATCAGATCACAAGGGTCCAACACCTGAATTCCATACTTGGCTGTGTGAAGGTCAATATACTAGGAAAGTAAGCTTACTTACCTCTCTCAATTTGGGGTAAGCACAAACACCTATATGCGACAATTCTGATGAATTCAACAAAATGCATAGAACACTGAGAAGTTCAGATAAAATTAGAGTACCATATTTACTCAAATGTAAGAAAACCCATAATTATAAGATGATCCCCCAATAATTAGATTCTATACATGGAAAAATTACCCATTTGATATAATTTCCAGGTATAAAATCTAAATCACTGGACATTTTTGTCTTGAATTTGTCAACCTCAAAATGCTACAGCAGAGAAAATAAATCTAGAGGGTCCGGTAGCACCATTTGCCCTCTGTCCCCCACAACTTCTTCCTTCTGCAGCCCCTTCCCTCCTCCGTACGGTTGGACCCTTCCCTCCCTGAGCACGTAGAAGTGAGGAACAAATTTGAAAAAAAATGACCTTGAACTAAAAATAGCTGTAGTAATTTGCATATAGTACCCATCAATTTAGTTCATCCAGAATTGATGCATTTTGCCTTTTCTGAAACTGCTGCAAATTTTAATATAGGTACTCCATAAACACACTTTTGAGCAGCATTTCTGTACCAACTTAGAGTACAAAATATGCATGTTATTAGTTCAAAAGAACAAAGTTCATGATTTACTATATAATTCATTGGGCTGGGCCCCAGCAGAGTCAACAGCATTTCAAGCCATGATGACTCCACAGCTCAGCACTGCTCAGTATGTGCATGTACTCCTGATAACCCCAACAAAGGATCCACGTGCTAATTAGCCCCTCAGTCATGATGACTGGAATCGGGTGTTCTTGTCATGAGTCCTAGAATCCTCCAAAAAAAATGGGGCAACCTGGTCCAGCTCCACCCCATGGAGGGTGGGGCCACGCTAATCATGTGTGACAGCCTGAGAGAGGGGGTGACAGAGGGATGCCAGATGAACTGTTTGGGGCCCCATTAGGTGATGTTTGCCAGACATTTAAGGCTGGTGAAAAATCAGGAATAATTGGAAATGGGAAAGAAAAGGACAGCTCAGCTGTGGGAGTGAAGTAGTCAAAATGCATGCAATGTAGTGACTCACCATGCCTTGAAAAACGTGTCGATGCTGAGGGAGTGTACTCAATGGGCACTACAACGTCTTACTCATATGGGTTCCACTAACCCAAGGAAGGGTAATTATTTGAGTCTACAGGCCACATAGGGAGTTTGGTGAGCTGTCACAGGGCAGGTTAACACCCCGTCACACAACAGCTCACCAAAACTCCCTAAGTGGCCCCACCCTGTCCACCTGGCCCCGTGCCCTGCCCAGGCAGATCCTGGTTGGTATCCATGAAGACCCCAGGATCGTGGGGCAGTGATGGCATAAGGCCAGGACCTGGGGCTAGAGCTGCGATTTGCTTCCTGCATGCCCCTGCCTGCACAGCCAGTGCCCATTGCAGGAGCATGCAGGCTATGGATTGTGGCTCTGCTCTGCGCTCAGTTGGGGTGGGGCCAAGGCTGGGATTTAGGGAAGTGGCATTTGGGAATGGGCAGGCAGGCCCAGGATCACAGTGCAGTGACAGTGTGGGGTCAGGGCCCCACAATCCCAAGTCTGGCCCTGCCCACCTGTTCCAGTCCCAGACGCTGTTCCTCTGGATCCCAGCCGTGGTCTCATCCTGGCTGAGCGTGGAACTGAGCCATGATTCCCTGCCCACAACAGGTGCTGGTTCTGTGCGCAGAGGTGTGCAGGGAGCGGATCATGGCTTTGCCTTGAGCCTCAGCCTGAACGATCCCCGCAGTTACAGCACGCTCTGATTTCTCTCTCTCCTCCCCATCTGAACAGTCCCTGCAGCTGTAGCACACCACCTCTCTCTTTCCCCCCTTTATAGTTTCATAGTTTCATAGATTAAGGGTCGGAAGGGACCTAGTAGATCTTCTAGCCCGACCCCCCGCCAGGGCGGGAGGACAACAAAACCCCAAAACAAGAAACGGGACTCAAATGAGTCCAGCCAGGTAGGCATCCAGCCTCTTCTTAAAGACCCCCAGGGTAGGGGCCAGCACCACTTCCCTTGGAAGTTGGTTCCAGCTCCTAGCCGCCCTAACTGTGAAGTAGTTTTTGCGGATGTCCAATCTATACCTCCTCTCCATCAACTTGTGCCCATTACTCCTTGTTATGCCAGCGGGCGCTAGGGGAAACAGCGTCTCCCCCAAACCCTTCTGGTCCCCCCTAGTGAGTTTATAGACTGTCACCAGGTCCCCCCTCAGCCTTCTCTTGTGGAGGCTGAATAGGTTCAGGTCCCGCAGTCTCTCACTGTAGGGTCTGCCCTGTTGTCCCCGGATCATGCGGGTGGCCCTCCTCTGGACCCTCTCCATGTTGTCCACATCCCTCTTGAAATGGGGCGCACAGAACTGGACACAATACTCCAGCTGTGGCCTGACCAGCGTCGCGTAGAGGGGGAGGATCACCTCCTTGGCTCTACTCGAGATGCACCTGTGGATGCACGACAAGGTCCGGTTAGCCCTGCCAACCATGACCTCGCATTGTCGGCCCATGTTCATCTTGGAGTCAATAATGACTCCAAGATCTCTTTCTGCCTCCATGCTCTCGAGTAGGGAGTTCCCCATTGTGTAAGTGTGCTGCTGGTTCCTACTGCCCAAGTGCAGCACCCTGCACTTGTCTGTATTGAAACGCCTTCCGACCCTTGAACCATCCCTGTAGCTACAGCTGATCCACAATGTCCGGCCCCTTCTGCAGCTAACACCAGCTCCTGCCCCGTGTGCTGCAAGCAGTG